GCAGTAGGCCAAGCCAAGCGGGCAACTAAACAGCGCGTGTTGTGTGTCTCGTCTTCAGTCAGAATGTTACAGAGCCTCGTCACACGCCTTTGGCAGGAATAGTCCAGACCGGCCAGGACTCCATTAATAAAGAAGAATTGAAGAGCTAAGATCCTGCTGTTTTTGCGGGTTTTCCTTAATGTTACTGTTCTCAGAAATTGGACCTGTTTACTTCTTCTGCCTACCTCTCTGGTCTGAGGTGATGCGAATTCTGTCTATTGTTCTGACAGCTGGCAAGATTTTTATGAATAAATGTTACTTTCTCTTCAACTTAGACTGGACTTTCATTCCAGCATCCTCTCCTGGCTTTTCCGGCTTAAAGTAAATCGCACCTGGCCTTAAACGGAAGTTTGCGAATTAGCCTATAGCATAACCATTATTTCCATTTTATAGACTACTACTTCGCAGCAAACGGGATTCAGGTCGAGGGATTTTCAGGCGGAGGTGTGATAATCGTCACCAGTGAGAATATTGTCAGCAAATGCTACTGCACTACTACAGGGAAACGGTATAAGTGTTATTTTCTAAGACTTACCAATATGTTTTGTTCAAATAAACGAGTAAGTAATGGGGAAGGGGCCGATGAGAGCAGGCTTATCGAAAGGACAACTTTGATTGGCGGTCATGCACAAACAATCGGTCTTGAGCGGTAGCTAATCAAACGGAGGACCCCGGTGGCGGCCAAGTAAAAGGTGGGCAATTTACCTATCTAATGTAGACGTTACGGGAAACTGTAAAGATGCTAAAGAAAAACTAGTAAATGATTCATAAATGCTGTAAGTTACCGCGGCTGACTGTTAACGAGAAGGTTGGTCCTGTGTCCTGCAATATTTAATCCACTGTGACCTTGATCGAAGCCTACCCATTGCAAGTGGGGAACCAATACCACAGACAGCATCCAGGAGCTCACCAATCCATTAGAAGAAGTACATGAACGCAGTGGTCCGCCCTCTTAACAGCTGGAGACCGTAGCAGACCCGATGAAGATGGACTCACCGCTGACCCTGTGTGGATTTCATTTTATTCGAGGAAACTGACGACTGAGGATTTCCTTGCAGATTTTTAATTACACCAGACAATAATTGCTACCTTGCACTAAATAAATATATTTGGGGCCTTAAATGTGTAAACTGCAAATTTCTATGTATAAGGAGGAGCTAATGAGCGAACGAAAATGATACAGTTGATAATACAACTGGAAATGTGAAGCAGCAACGGCAAACAACTTCTCAAAATAAGGGACAGCTAAGTGGTTCATGTCAAAAGAGCATTTCTTTGGCCGAAGGCAGCCATTCTGTCAGCCTAGATACCCTCCCTCAGAAACCAAAAGTATGTATATCAAATTGTTCGGTTTAAATACCAGATGTTTGCTGTAGTGCTGAGGTCCTCTGTGTAATAAATATAAAATCAATTTATTTATTTGAAAATGTATCCCAGCTTCAGACACTGAAATTTGTCTACTGTCCAGATGTTGCTATAATAACAGATACCTGGTCAATAACCTCCGTAATCGAGGCAACACTCTCTCTTCTAGCCTACGCTAACACCCGAATGAGCGTCGCAACAACAATAGTGGAGGAAGTTATATCTGTGGTTAGCGGTCGCCCACATTTCTGCCGTTCGAATATGCACAATTTAAAGCGTTGGAAGATAGTTGTTGGCTCCGATTGGCTCCTTATTCGTTGGTTGCGTCTATTTATATAACGTGCATAAATGGCTTTGAAACATATACATGTTTTGCCAGAATCTATCTGAAAATAGGGCTTTCAATTGCCTTCCCTAGTTTCCTTGTATATACTGAATTATTGTCCACCCTGGACCAGCTAGGATTACATTTCACGTCACAGCTGACTTGCATTTTAAGTTTTGCTTGGCTGCGGGTAACTTCAGTCTTCCTGAAGTTCAATGATCTGCAATCATCTGTCGTATAAAGTTTGAGACCGTAGACATCAGCATGCGTGGTCAGGCAGTCGATTTTCCCTAGCAAAACGACATTTCCTATCTGCCCTTCAGCCAACTTATGTTTTAGCAAGCTAAGAGGCTGTCCGAAGCAATACAGCTAATCGATGAGGTCAACGTTTATGAAACCCGTCAAGCAGGTAGGGTCCATAACGTGTGCCAATCCACAGATCGAGACCCCCTGTGGAAATCGTATCGCTGAAATCAGGCTGACCACTCATAGTTTCAATGCTTTCCTGTTCAGAAAGTTTAGGGAAAATTCGTTCGTTGCACGAACGACTATCTGATTTTGGGCCGCTGCCGCTTTGAAACTATAAATTAAACCCTTTAAGCCGTGACCATAGCCATTTGACGTATTTTCCAATTTCATAGTCCTGAACTACAGGGTGCCCCACAAAAAACCCCTATGTTTGTGATTGTTACGGCGGCCGGACCGCCCATGCCGTCACGATCGATGGCG